CTCTATGTCATAGAGATTGATGCTCGTCTTGAGGACGTCCCCTTCTCGGCGTAGGTTGGAGTAGAACGCACGCACAAGCCCGTGGTTGAAGCTTTGGTGGCTCTTGGAGACGAACGGCCAAAGTCCTGAAGCTTGGAGCTGGTTGTCGAGATCATGAAACCCCTTTTGTTGGGGGTAAAGCTCCGGGAGGATGCGAGGCGGCGCGATGGGGCGCGTAGAGAAATAGGAGAGGAAGTGATGGAGCTCCGCCTCCGATCCAAACTCGAGAAACGACCCATCAAGGTACGGGTACGTTTCGGGCAGCGAGGACGATGCATCGGCCGTTCTCTTCTTCTTGGACATGGTGGCCTTGGTCTTGGTTTTTCCTCCGGTCATTTGAGAAGAAAAGATGAAGAAAGAATCAACTATTGCTCAATGGATTGATTTGGAGTGAAAAAGATGAGGAAAAATGACCCAAAAATGGGTCCTTTTTATAGAAAACACTCATTTGTCCGTTGGGTATTTGAAAAAGAGCTGTTGGGCATTGAATGTGGTGCCCAACGGACTGATTTTTTTTGAAAGAACCCGTCAAACCAGCGATGGGTAACCCTGACCATCGCTGGTCGCCCATCGATGGGTAAGAAAAACCATCGATGGGGAGGGGGTTTCTGGAAATTTATGAAAAAGAAAAGAGGACCAACCAGCGATGTGTCAAAAGCACCATCGCTGGTAAAGGAGCTACTGGAAAGTCTGGAGTTGAGCACTAAAGGCTTACCAGCGATGGGTAAGAAGTACCATCGCTGGTTTGGGAGCCACTGGAAACCCAAGCCTCTGCAGACCAGCGATGGTCCCTTACACCCATCGATGGGCATTTACTCCATGTGCGATGGTTATATTGACCCATCGCTGTCCTGACCAGCGATGTGCTTGGCTTACCATCGCTGGTTCCCCCTGTCTTCCAGAAACATTTAAGTGATGCACCTGCAAAAAAGAGTTAGAAAACCCTCCGAAGCTCAAGTTAGTGATGATTTAATGAATGATAGATAAAATGCACATATTAGATCAAGGTAGAGTCAAGGATTCCTAATTCGCTACGAATTCGGAAGAACGTATCTTTCTCTAAAGGCTTGGTGAAAATGTCGGCAAGTTGAGACTTTGTTTCAACGAACTCAATTTTGACATCACCTTTGAGAACGTGATCTCTGATGAAATGGTGCCTAATGTCAATGTGCTTTGTTCTTGAATGAAGAACGGGGTTCTTCGTCAAGCTTATGGCGCTAGTATTATCACAACGAAGAGGAACGTGATCGA